TAATAGAATAATAAATCAAAACCACATGGTGACACCAAAAGCTGTGGACAAAGAATTCGATAAAGTCCAACAACCTATCAAGATAAAAACATCAGACACACTAGGCATAGAGAGGAGGTACCTCAATCTGATGAACAGTATTTATTTTTTTTTAAAAAAAAACATTACAGATAACATCATATTTAAATGTGAAAGACTGAAAAATTTCAGTAACATTAGAAATAAAACTTGAATTTCCTGCTCTTGTTGCTTCTGTCCAACACTGCACCAGAGAGTCTGGCTGGTACAAGCAGGCAATCAGTCCACGGATCAATCAGTCAATGACATGCAAGTAAAAAGAAAGAAATAGCACAATCTCTATTTTTAGATAACATGATCTTACATGTGAAAACCTTAAGGAATACACACACACAAAAGAAAAAATTCAGGAATAATTAAAAAGTCCACCAATATTTCAGGCTATCAAATTAGTGTACAAAAGAAAATTCGTTTTTATACACCAACAATGAACAATCTAAAAATGAAATTAAGAAAAAGTTCATTTACAACAGTATTCAAAATAATGAAATGCTTGGGAATAAGTTTAATTGAGAATACAGGAGTCATACACTGAAAACTAAAAAATATCATCAAAAGAAATTAAAGAAATAGAAATAAATCTATGTCTGATGAGTAGGAAGACTTAAAGTAATACTGCCCAAACTTATCTACAGACTCAACACAATTCCTATCAAAGTCCCAGCTGCAGTTTTTATAGATATATGAATACTAAAATTCAATGAAAATAGAAGGAACGCAAGAAAGTCCAAAGTAATCTTGCACCATGAGAGTAAAGTTGGAAAATCAACATTTCCAGATTTTAAAACTTATCCACTGCTGTAATAATAAAATTTGAGTTTCTATCACAGAATTAAATTAACAAAATTAACATGTAATTAATCCACTGCATTTATAATCAATTGATTTTCATTAAGACTGTCAAGATCACTTAGTGGAGGAAATGATAGTCTTTCAACAAATTAATTCAGAACCGAAAATGCAAAAAAAAAAAATGGATTTGAGTAACCTACCTCAAACTATATAGAAAAATAATCCAAAATGGATTAAAGACTTAAATTTTAAAAGCTAAAATTATAAATCTCCTAGGAAAAAAAATAAATAAATCTTCATGACCTTAAGCTCAGCAGTATTTCCTTAGATATGACACTACAAGCATAAGGAAATGAAAAGTCAGATAAATGAGACTATGTTAAGTTTAAAACTGTAGTTCAAAAGACACTACAGAGGGGCTGGGGATTTAGCTCAGCAGCTTAAGCACTTGCTTGGTAAGTACAAGGTCAAGAGTTTGAGCCCCGGTACAAAAATTAAAGAAAGACACTATCAGAAAACTAAAAACAAAACCCACAAAATGGGAGAAAATATTTATATATTATCAGGGATTTAGCTCAGTGGCATATGCATACCTGTCTGGAAGGTTGTGAGTTCGATCTCTGGTACCAAAAAAAAAAAAAAAAAAAGTATATAGTATATATCTGATAAGGATGAATTATTTATACCCACCACCTATACAGAACTTTTATTCAAATGACTCCTCAGTTTTATTTAATAGGTAAAGGAAATAAGACATTTCTCCAATAACAAGACATTTCACCAAAAATAGCATCCGCCAATAAACCTGTGAAAAAATTGAACAATAATCATCAAGGAAATGCAAGTCAAAACCATAAGATATCACTTCACACCTACTAGTATGGCTAGAGTTTTAAAAGAAGTACAACAAAAGCTATTTTTAAGAATATGCAGAAACCTGAGCTTTCACACATTGCTCGTGGAAATTTGAAAATACTGCACCTGCTTTTGAAAGCAGTTCTTTGAAAAGTTTAATATTGAGTTCCTATGTGTAGCAAGTCTACTTCTAGGTACACACCCAAAAGAACCAAAAGTGTACCCACACAAAAATAAATGTTCCTGGTAGCATTATTCATTGTAGCCAAAATGTAAAACTAGAAATCTTGTTGGCCAAGCAGCCTACTTCCCAAGAGTCAGGGCTGGCTTTGGGATTTAATTGATCTGGCTTCCAAATCTGTCTCTATTGTTTATTACCGTGAGACCTTTAGCAAAGGTTTTAACCTCAGTAGCCCTCAGTTTTCTCATTTAAAAACTATGACTAATAATATACCTAGCTTGCTGTGAAGGTTAAATGAGACTGTATATGTCAAATACATGTAAGCAGGATCTTGAGAAACTGCTATTTAGTAGTTTTCCAAAGCAAATGTGAGAATTTTACAAAGTAGCTTATACATTACATATCCTTTTTGAGTTAAAATTTAAGGTATTTTTATAATAAGATTCCTCTGTGCTTGTAGAGCACTTTATTGCAAAGAAGTGAATTAAAAAAGAAATTTTCCCACAAATTCCACCATGTTCAAATATTATACAGAACCCTAGTAACTCACCAGACAACCCAAAAAGAGCGTCACTGTTAGTAGCACTTTAAAATAAATAACAATTCTTAAACAAGGAAGACTTTATTACTTCACTCACTTTTACCAGAGAACATCATTGTTACAAGAAGTTAAGTCACTTGGCTAACAGATGGACTCCACATCTTATTTTTAATCCAGTGTTCTTACACTTTTGTCTATACCTTGTCATTCATATTCTTTGGTCTTTCATTGATATTTTGAAATATCAATGTTCTCCTTATTGTAGTTCTAGGGAATTACAAGAATCCAGGATAAAAGTTACAGGAACCATCTTAATACTCGTTTTATTTCTCTTAGACTAGAGTTAGGTGAACAATCTATTCTGTTATCCTCTTTTATTACCCAAATAAGATAATTCTTAAATTATTCTTAAGTGAAATATTAAGTTTTTACTTCAAAACTGTAATGCTCAGTGTCTCAATGCATAATCAATGCTGGAAATACCAGCCTCCCTCCTGATTCAAAGTCTCCTATGAAGATTTCACAGAACGGTATACAGATACAACTGCCTAGGTATCACAGAAACAAAAAATAATCGTTTCATTTCCATTAGAAAAGGTGCTTAAGTACTTCCATTTCAATGTGGACGTACTTGAACTATCACACATTGCTGGTAGAAATGTGAAATATTAGACAACTAAAAAATCTGAAGACAAGACCTGATGTTAAAATCTATAAACATTCCCATTAAACGGTTAACATATCCAGATATTCAGGAACTATTTCCAGATAAAGATGTTCTGTTTTGATCAGTTCACTTGTAGTTGTGTTTTCAAGTTTGTTTTCCTTTCATATTTTTAGCAAACAATTATTAAAACTCTGCTACACTACTTCTTAATAATAGAAAGAAACAAATTATTACTACATTAAAAAGTCACGGATGAATTTCAAAAACATCATGCAAAGTGAAAGAACCCAGAGCACCCGCCTCCGCCAGCACAAAAAAATGTCATTTGTATGATAGTATAGAAAAAGCAACTCTCTAAGAAGAGAATACAGACTGGTCATTTCTGAGAGATAGAAAAGTGTCATGGTTTATGTCTGTGGCCCCCAGGCCTCATGCATTTATATTATGCATTTGTGATTGGTTCATTGTCTAGCGCTTGGACTGGGAGTGTAAGTGCCAGCCTAGAGGTGGAGCCAGGATGTGATGTAATGGCAGGTGTAAAAGAAGGTGTGCCTTGCTCTCTTTTGCCAGTTTCTGCCTTACCATTTGCAGCCACCATGAACTGTGGCCCTGCCATGCCACCTTGCCTTGGAGCCAACTGAGTATGGACTGAAACCTTCAAAAGCTGTAAGAAATAAACCTTTCCTTTCCCGACTTGGTGCATCAGGCATTTTGTCTCAGCCACAAGTAAAAAGTAACTAAGACAAATAGAAAACAAAGTAAGGGCCTGAGTACAGAGGGAAAAGGGAATTGGGGGAAGTAACTCTATCTTAATTGTGGCAAGACTGCATGACTCCACAAATTTCTCAAACACACAAAAGTATATACCTCCAAACATAAAATGTATTGTGTATAAACTATTTTTCAATTTAATAAAAGAAACTCCTATTTGTAAAACCCCTAACTTTAGTATCCACAAAAATACACACCAAATCATAAAGATAGGACTGTAAGTCAGATGCATCCTTAGCTCTGGGTAGCGGAACATGAACGAGCTTAACGTTAACACTTGACCTCAAGAACTTGTATCTAAAGTGGGAGACTAGGACTGGGGATATAGCTCAGTGGCACAGCGCCTGCCTGGCAAGCGCAAGGTCCTGAGTTCAATTCCCAGTACAAGAAAGAAAGAAAGAGAGAGTAAAGAAAGTCAGAGACTGAATTTTAAAAAAACGAAATATATATCGATAAATTTGAGTAAGTACAATGAAGGAAACAGTGAGACCACACAACACAGAAACCTAAATTAGTTTTCTGGTCATATGGCATATGAATCCATTTTAACTGCTATAATGAAATACCCAAACTTTATAAAGAAAAAGAAGTTTAGTTTGCTTACATGTTCTGGGGTGCAAGGGCATGGTGCTAGCACTGGCTGAGCTCTGGTGAGACATTCCTAGTGATGGAGTCACAACAGTGACCATATACTGGGAAACAAAAAATCACATTGCTAGTCAGGAAGCCAGAGGGTGAATTAGGAATCAGACTCAAGCTTTTGTAACAACTCATTCTCACAAGACCTTGGGATCCCATGAGAACCATTTTAATCCCTTCTGAATACATGTGCCCAGTGCCCTCAAGACTTCCAACTAGGACCTACTTCTTAAAGTATCACCCCTTTACCACCACCATGCTGAGGACCAAGCCTCCAACACATGAACACAGAGGAGAAGCCAGGTCAAGTTAGAGAATTTGGATTTTTATTTTAGTTTTCTTACACCGTTAGACTTGTCTCTAGGATAACAGGGTCATCTAGAGCTCAGAAGAATGTGGGTCTTTTCATTGGTTGCGTGTGTTCTTAAAAATGGGAAAGCCAAAGAGGAAGCCTGCAAAATAATGAGTAGAGAGAAGAGTACATTAAACCAACAGGGAGTCTCCTTGTATTAAAATTCCAGGATGTTTTCACTCACACTAGAGCTCCTGGACAAGGGCATAAATCTGCATGTCAGATTGTTACTCATGGAAAATGCAGTTTTAATTAAGTTCATTTGTATGTTATTAATAAAAATGTACAATATTTATGAGCTTGGTTCTCGTCTGCTCCTTGCCTCTCATTTTATTTAATTAGCTGTGTGTAGGAGGTGCTGAATTGCAAGAGGCCCCCTCTTTTTAATAGCGATATTCCCAGTATAATTTGAGAAGAGTTTGGAACATAACACAAAGAAAATTAAACTGTTCCTTTGGCTCTAATATAAAGGAAATTCTGCAGGCTCATGCCTTCACTGAGATTGCTCCCACGTTTAGATTCCATTCTATCCCTGTTGATTAAGATGAGAGAGTACCTGTCTCATGAGGAGAATATTTTCAGCATTACTGGGGAAAAAAATCCATCATTGAGTAATATGTAAATTAATAAGCACACATTTTATTTTAAAAAAACACCATTTGAATATATGCATACATATGTATATATAAGCACACACATTTTTCTTTTAGCACACACATTCTTCAGGGAAAGGAAAAAAACCTAACTCTGTGATTAATGATAAAAATCTTCAACTTCATCATCCCTAAGCATTTAAACATGAGCTCACTGCAAAAATAGGACACAGGAGCAATCATAGTAACAGCTAACACTCACCTAGCACTTGGGCCAGGTGTTCCTGTACAAGCTTTACATGTACTAACTCATTTTAGACTCTCAATCCCTCTATAATGTAAATTCTGTTATCACTAGGCTTATTTCATAGATAGGGAAACTAACGTTCAAAAGATTGTGTAATTTGGCCAGATCACAGTTTAACAGTAGAAGTGTAGCTTACTTGGCTCCAAACATATCACTAGCATTCTGAATGTCAGATGTATGTCAATTATATATAGATATGTACATGTTTTGATGCCCAGGGAAGTAGCTTAGTATTAGATGTGTATGTTTTAGATTCCTACCATGGATTAATTTTGTTTATTCCTCTAATCAGAGATAACTTCTGTCTCACTAAGAAAAACACAATTTGATTAGGTGAATAATTGACAGCTTCGAAGCTATCAAGCAGTTGAAGATTGCATCAATTGAAACTCTGGCAAATTAAATCTCTGTGAATTTTCATGTTATTAGATATTTAAAGAAGGGCAGGGTGAAGTTACTCATGGGCAGGGAGGATAATGAAGACTTATATGAGAAATGTTACCTTTTTGTTTTACTGACCTAAAACTTTTTAATAACATAGAGTTCAACAACACTTGAGAAATGTAATCTTTTTTCTGGGCCCTCATATTTCTTCCTCTTCCTTGTGTGTTTTTGTTTTCAGGCCATAATCAGGCTGGATGGTATGGTAACCAAGGTCAGTCTTCCCAAATTCACTTCTTGCTCTCAGTGAGACCCACTTGGTAGGAGAACTTCGCCTCCACTGGCTTTTCAGCCCTGATTACGGGTCCTGCAACTCTCCCATCAACATTGGCACCCTGCACCAGGGAAAGCAGTGTCCTGTGACACCTGGTCTTCAGTTCCATTTCCAGGGCTTTCACACATTGGTCTTCCACTGATTTAGGCAAAAGAAGCCGTAATAGTCTGGAAAACAAAGATTACATTTTCTCTTTTAAAGAGCATCGAAACAATGTTTTTGTATGGGATTTTCATCTGAATATCATGCTCTAAGCCATATGACAAGCAGTGGGTACAGAACTTGGACAAATCAATAAAAAGGGAAATGAAAGATATTTTCAAATTCTAAACGACGAAGTGTGAGGCTTTGGCAGTGTTGGGGGTTAAACAGTGATGCTGACCAAGACATATGTTCGTTAAGTCATACCTGGTATTTGTTGAGAACTAAATAAGCATTGTCGTCAAACATGGAGCACAGTAACCGAGGGAGCTGTAAAACAAAGTTAGGGTCCTTAACATGTTAGGGTCCTGCCTGGAGAACACACGTGTACAAATAATGCATGTGGTAAATGTCCTCTAAATTAAACACGTAAGTGCTAAGAACAGTGCCGACTGTGAGGCTAAACCAGACTTCTAGGAAAGGCTGAGTTTTGAAACAAATTTTGAAGATGGAAACGAGGCACCTGGTAGTGAAGAAGACGAACTTCCACAGATGATCACTCTGAAACCTGACCCAGTGAGAATTGAAATGGTGACAGTTGGCTGTCATTAATGGGAGAAATTACTTCAAAGAAACCAATAGGGTTTTTCTGTTTTGTTTTGTTTTTAATTTAGCTGAAAGAGAAGATATTATTAAGGTGAGCCAAAACTCATCTTGAAACATTTGACTATGCAACAGTAAAACCCACATTCAAATGTAGAATGGAAGTTGTCAGCAGTGTGAACCAAAGCGTCTCTGTCAGGGAAGAGAGGGTTTTCTTAACACCCTGGGTCACTTAGGCCTTAATAAGGCTGCAGGTAGGAGTGACTCCATCAAAGGCCGCAGTGTGTTCAGGAGGTTCCTGTGACACAGTGGAGGAAGCAGGCTGAGAGGGATATTGAAAGATGACAGTAGGGGACTTCCTCTCCAGGAGGATGCCAAGGGGCTACAGAGGGTTTGTGTTTCATTTCCTCTTTCTGCAGAGCAATCCCCAAAAACTTTGGTAACATTGTACTAACTTATTTATAATAGTACCTGTTTGTGATACATAATAATTACATTCATCTTGGAAAATTGGTACCTATACTGATCACATCATAATCCTTTTTATTTCCCCTGCCCCTTTCTTATCTCCTCCACACCCAGATCTCCTTTCTATCTTCATAAAATCTATTTGCAGGTTTTCAATCTATCTCTTATTTTGTTCTTTAAATGATTTATATTTTGAGTTTCTCATGGAAGATAAACCCTGAAATATTTAAACTTTTATGATTTATTTCACTTAACATAATAATCTAAGGGGGATTTATTTTTCTATAAGTGAGTCAAATTTATTCTTCTTTATGGTTGATTAGTACTCCATTATATTTATATATATATTTGACATATACATATATGTCATATCAGCATGATATCTAAATATATAAATATGTGATTTAAATCATATAACATTTCCTTTACCCATTTATCTGGGTAAGGTAAGTCTATAAGCTACTTCCAAGATCTAGCTACTATGAGGTGTGCTACTATAAATGTGAGTGTGCATATATCACTATAAATATACTCACACCAAAAATATAAAAGGATTTCTTTTTCCTCACAACTTGATCATCATTTTTGTTGTTGTTGTTCTTAATAATCAGCTGTCTTGGTTACTTTTCTCTAATTTCTGGGACAAAATACCTGACACCCAAAATAAAGGAATGAAATGTTTACTTAGTTTACTCACTGAGTTGTGAAAAAAAAGGAACCCTTGGTATTTTTGGTGGGGATATAAACTAGTACCACCACTTATGGAAGTTAGTAGAGTGATTCTTCAAAAAACAAAACGCAGAAATATCAGATGATCTAGCTATTCTTCTGGGATCCTTATCTAGTGTTAAAGACAGTATATTTATAGTGATACATGTACACTCTGAAATCTAAGGCAAACTCTTACCTATAACTTCCTGTGAAAATTAAAAGATAGTTAAACACTTCCAACATTCAGTGGTACAAGATAAACATTACTATTCCAAAGGGTACAAATAGGTGATACAAAAAATCCAGCAGAACAAACATTAAGTCCTGGAGTTCATGCTCAGCATCTGAAGCAATCTGGTTGTGAGCCCCAAAAGGCTTGAGTGACTTCACATCTATGGCCCTTCCAGTGGTTATAGCTCCCATCACTTCTCTTAGGTTCACTTTGCTCCCTCCTTGCAGGTTTCCTTAGATGATCCACGCTCCTGGTTTTTCCCAACTTCTGGGTTCTCCTTTGTCTTCCAGTTCACAGCTTCACACACTGCCCTCTCAGGAGCACACTGCCGGATGTTCCAACACTCGTGAAATTGGAGTGGAAGCCTTTGTAACCTCAGAATTAATGCATTCTGCATGTGCTTAAAATCGATACTACACTGATGCTGTTGAGTATGCTGCAAGCTGGAGCAATAACCAGGCTTTCCTCTGTTGGCTGTAGAAGTTAAGTGCCTGGAACACTGTGCACCCTGAACCTGATTGTAAGGAACAAACTCTCTATGTTGCCTTGATTTTGGAACCTGGTGCAGCCACTGACATTTTGGAAGCTTGAAGAAATGACCACCACTTCTATTCTCTACCCAGCAGCTTTCTCCTCCAAGCAAGGTCTTTCACTTTTGCAGTTTAAAGGATGCAAAATATGGAGACCTGCTGCTGCTTGTGATGCCCTAAGGCCATCTTTTATATCCTTCTGTTTCTTCTCAACAATAGAGATCTCAGCTCTGTCTTTGCAGTCCACAACTTTACAGGAGCCTTTTTCCCAGCTAAACTCACAATGTTTTAAATCATCCTACTGTATTTTGATTCACAACACATATCTGATTAAAAGCCCCCAACAATAGCCATGTCAATGCCTTAGCATTCAACTGCCTTGAAATTTCTTCTGTCAGATTAATTAGTTCATCATTCTTAATCTCAATCTCAAGCAAAGTCTCTGGACACAGGCAAAATGCAGACAAACTTTCTGCCAAGTCATAACACACATTGTTTGTAGTCCAATAACCAACAAAGTCCTTATTTCCAGCAGAAACCTCCCAAGCCTGGTCTTTACTGGTTTTCTGGTCTTCTGAGCTCTGACCAGCCTCCATCAGAACAATCTAAGCTGTTCATCTCTTTCAGGCAACATCTCTGAACTTTTCCAAACTCTTCCCACAAGCCATTCCCAAAGATTCTTGGATCACATGGTCAGATAGTCACAGCAACAAACTCACCCCACTGGTACCAAATTCTGTCTTGATTATTTTTCTCTCATTGCTGAAACAAAATATCTGAGGCTCAAAATAAAGGAAGAGAACGTTTATTTAGTTTACAGTTAATGGAGGTTTCAGTCCATACTCAGCTGGCTCTAAGGCAGTGTGGCATGGCTAAGGGGCAGCCTTCATGGTGACACAAGTGATAAGAGCAAAAAGTGTAAAAGGGGAAAAGCATGCCTCTTTCCCTCCCTCATACTGTATACCAGCTACCTGCGCTTGGGTGGGTGCAGCACTCATACCACCAATCCCAGCGCTAAACAACTAACCAATGTCAAATGCTACACTCAGCCACTCTTGAAAGGGCTGCCCTCATGACTGTATGAGGCTGTGGGGGGACATTTAAACAACTATAACATCAACCTTATTCCTGGAATAAGATGGAATCTGAATGATGTCTTCATTTGCATTTCTCCAATAGCCAAAGACCTTGGTTCTTTCATTGTATTTATTGGTCATTTGTACTTCATTTGAGAGATGTCTATGCATTTCAATTGTTCAATTTTTACTGGGTCACTTGGAATCCCTATACATACAGGATCCAAAAGCCCTTACCTGAAGGAAATAAAATCAGTGCACAAAAATCAATAGCATTCCAATAAAAAACAATGATGCCACAGAGGAAAAATAATCCAATTCAATGTAGCTTCAAAAAAATTTCTAGAAATTATCCTAACCAAGGAAGTGAGAAAGTTGCATGATTTTTTTTTTAAAAGTAGTGCACTGAAAAAAAAAAGAAGAAGACATTAGATTTAACAGGCCAAGCATGCTGGTGTATGCCTATAATCCCAGTACTTGAGAGGCTGAGGCAGGAGGCTCACCATGAGTTCAACTCCAGTCTGAGCTATATATAAGCTCAGTGCTTGCCTGAGCTATATAGGAAGACCCTGTCTCAAACAACAACAACAACAAAAAAAAAAAAAATGGAAAGCCATCCCCTGTTCCTAGATGGGTAGAACCAATGTTGTCAGACCCCCATGTTATTAATTACATGTTCTGGTGTTAGAAATGCTTGTAAAATTAACTGTATCTGCAGTGAGGCTTAAGCAATCAGAGCAAATTCAGCAGCTCAAAGCTGCCAGAATCCACACATAAAGAAGCCTAGAGTATTAAAACAGACAGAAGGTAGGTAAGTGAAGGTACTGTAGAGGCTGGACTTCTTGCTGACTAGAAGATGGGGAAGGAGCTGGGAAGCTGCTCCTGGGTATGAAACAGAAGGTAACTTCTGGAGCCTGGAGAATGTGTGCTATCTCAGTGTTGATCACATCAAGAACATGAGACTACAGGTTTGGTTAAAAACCTAGACAACGCCACACACTGGAAATCCAAGAGATGAGCTCTAGCTAACTGTAATTAGCTGTGAAACCCTGAGCAATTCAGATGACTGCTCTGAGCCTCAGTTTCATCACTTACAAAATGAAGGGAATTAGACAATCCAGTAACAGATCAAGTTCTGTAATTCTGAGACACATGAAAAACAAAATTCAAACTCTAAGGGAAATAGGACGTCACTGTAGTATCAGCTATCCATCTGGCCGACAACTGCATGTACCAGTTTGCCTCATTTTTACATATAATTTAACTAATCTACCTATTGTTTTAGGATCTCTCTCTCCCCTAATCACATTCCTTACAATTTTCTTTTCTATCTTAATAGTACTAATCATTTGCTTTGTTTACTGTCTTCTCAATTAAAATGCATGTGCCCTGAGAGTTTGTTTTCCTTACTGTTGTATTTTAGCACCTAACATCTAGAACATGGTGTGCACTTAATAATTATCACTCACTGAATGAAAAAGTAAATGACGTTCCCAATATCTCCACATTTTTAGAAAACCAGATATTGAAGTGGTGACATTTTATATACCGAAGATAATAATTCAAAAACACAGTGTTAAAGGTGTTAAGTAACTCTTTTGAACCCAAACCATAAAAATACAATTTCAAACAGATTTCACTTCATTTAACATTTGTCAGATAAAGTACACCGCCCAGAATTATAAAAATAATTGCTTTATAAATTAAGAT